CCCCTCCCCCAGCCTCCGCCCTCGCTGCTTGCGGGGCAGAGGCCTCTCCTAGACCTCACGCCGTCTCCTGTCTCGGAGCCCGCACGTGGCCAGTGCAGGGCCCCGAGCCCCGGGGGAGGCCTCCGGGCCAGGGGAGGGAGAGGGACAACTCTGGGTGTTTGAGTCTCTGTTCCTTTCGTAGGTTGCAGGTGGCTGCCAAGTTTATGCCTGTGTCCAGCCTTATTGTGGGTGAGTGACAGGCAGGTCTCCTGGGTGTCTTAGGGGTGGGTTCTGGAGTCCTTTGTCCGGCTTTTTCCCTTCCGGCTTGAGCCAACCCCGTATAATATCCTGCTCTGCCTTTTTTTCTAGGTGTGGACTTGGTTCCAATCAAGCCTCTCCCTAACGTGGTAACTCTCCAGGAAGACATCACAACAGAATGCTGTAGGCAGGTAACTGGGAGTCTCTCTTGTCTCTTTTGAATGCAAACGTTCACATCCCCCAAGGTCCTTCTGGGTAACGCTTCTCTGCACTTGGAACACGTTCCTGCATGACATCTGTATGACAAGGCCCATGATTTGATATTCCTAGTGTCCGCTCCAGGCTTTGTTTAGAGTCAGGGATGCAGCTGTTAGGAACTGGGGGGAGGACACAGATCTCCAGTATAGTCCTTTCCAGGGGAGTCACCATCAGACTAGTCTCGTGGAGGCAGAGACGTATCATTCGTGCTGACCGTTGTTTCCTGTGCCTGGCATGCTTGGTCCACGATCGACACTAAGCACATGACCTAGAGCAACAGACGGCTAAGCCAGGGCCGTTCTCAGGCATTCCTGCGTGTCTGCTGCTATAATTACCTTTCTCCTTGGTAGGCCCTGAGGAAGGAGCTGAAGACCTGGAAGGTAGATGTTGTGCTGAATGATGGGGCCCCCAATGTCGGGGCTAGCTGGGTTCACGATGCGTACTCACAAGGTAGAGGGCGTGGGGCTTGGCGACGAGGTGCGGGGGCAATGGGCACACCCTCAGTGGCAGGGAGCCTCAGCTTCCTGTCTGTCCCACAGCCCATTTGACACTGATGGCTCTGCGTTTGGCTTGTGACTTTCTGGCACGTGGTGGCTGCTTCATCACGAAGATCTTCCGTTCCCGGGACTATCAGTCTCTGCTGTGGATCTTTGAGCAGCTGTTCCGCCGTGTCCAGGCCACTAAGCCCCAAGCCTCGCGCCATGAATCTGCAGAGATCTTTGTAGTCTGCCAGGGTGAGCATCGCTTTCTTTCTCTTGACTCAGCCCCCCAACCACCAAAGCACGCTTTTAAACGTAACCTATTGTTTTAGGTTTCCTGGCTCCTGACAAGATTGACAGTAAATTCTTTGACCCCAAATTTGCCTTCAAGGATGTTGAGGTTCAGGCTAAGACTGTTACTGAGTTGGTGAATAAGAAGAAGCCGAAGGTGTGTTTAGAGGTTGTGGACCCCAGGGGTCCTGGAATTCTGGGGAAGCTGGGCCTGGTGGGTCCTACAGATAGCTCAGGAGGGACTGCCCAACCTTCTGCGTTTCTCTCCTTAAGGCTGAAGGCTATGCAGAGGGTGACCTTACTTTGTATCACCGCACCACCGTCACCGACTTTCTTCGAGCTGCCAACCCTGTTGACTTCCTTTCTAAGGCCAGCGAAGTGAGTTCCCAGCCTTGTGGGGTTGTAAGAGAGCCCCAGAAACAGTCTGGGGACCTTCCCTGACTCCTCCTCCCACACAGATATTGCTAGACGATGAAGAGCTGGCACAGCACCCAGCTACTACTGAGGACTTACGGGCATGCTGTCAGGACATCAAAGTGTTAGGGCGCAAGGAACTCAGGTGAGCACAGGGCAGCCATAGGGACCAGGAGCCCTGAAGGCGGGAAAGCCCATGATGGTGCCTCTGTTCCTGTGCTAGCGGCTTGGGGGGGCAAACAGGAGGTGGCAGGGACAAGGAGGAAAGTGGTAAGATCAGCCACGGTATTTCTGGGGCAGGTCCCTGCTGAACTGGCGAACAAAGCTTCGGCGACACGTGGCCAAGAAGCTGAAAGAACAAGCAAAGGCCCTGGACATCAGGTAAGGAGGGAGCCAGACCGCAGCCGTCGTTGACAGAGTTGGGGGAGTATCTCGGCAGACCACCCAACTGTTTTTTCAGCCTCAGCTCGGGAGAGGAGGAAGAGGGTGCTGAGGAGGAGTCAGTGGCTGGGTGCACAAGGCAATCCGAGGAGGAGGAGGAACAGCTGGACCAAACCCTGGCAGAGATGAAGGCCCAGGAGGTGGCAGAGTTAAAGAGGTGAGGGGTGCCGGCGAGGGAACTGGGCGCCCCAGCGCAGGGCCCTTGGCGTGAAGAAGGGAGAAGGAGTGAACGTCACGGAGAGAGAGTCCTCTGAGCTGGGCAGGCCCTCTCCCTCCGCTGCCCTCCCAGGAAGAAGAGGAAGCTGCTGCGAGAGCAGAGGAAGCAGCGGGAGCGTGTGGCACTCAAGATGGACCTGCCTGGGGTTTCCATCGCAGACGAGGGGGAGACTGGCATGTTCTCCCTGCGCACCATCCGGTGCCCCCAGGTGAGACTGAAGCTTTGGGCACTGGGCATCTTCTGACGTGTGCTGAGTGGTGGTGGGCTGTGGCTGTTGTCTTCACCCACGTGAAGACTTGGCAGGGTCAAACAGACAGAAAACGTGAACCTTGCGATTAAAGGCCAAGAAGAAACAGGCACTTTAAAAAAGGGCGGACCTGGGAAGATACAGGAGCGTGACAAAAATTCATTCTATTTTTTTTTCTTTTCTTTTTTGAGTCGGAGTCTCCCTCTGTTGCCCACATGGGAGCGCAGTGGCACACTCATGGCCCCTGCAGCCTCACCCTGCTGGGCTCAAGCGATCCTTCCACCTCAGCCTTCCAAGAAGCTGGAACCACAGATATGTGCCACCATGCTCGGCTAAATTTTTTTACTGTAGAGACGAGGTCTTGCCAAATTGCTCGTGCTGGTCTCAAATCTCGGCTCAGGCAATCCTCTCACTTTTGTGCCTCCCAAAGTGCTGGGATTACAGGCTTGAGCCACCATGCCTGGCCTTTCTTTTTTTTTTTCCTGTTGTCGAGGTCTCCCTAGGTCACCCCGGCCAGAGTGCAGACCTGCTGGGCTCAGGCAATCCTTCCACCTCAGCCTTCCAAGCAGCTGGAACTCTAGCTGTGCCATCCCGCCCTGCTGATTGTTTTATCTTGGAGACGTCGTCTCACTGTGTTGCCCAGGCTTGCCTTGAACTCCTGGGCTCAGGCAGCCCTCTGGCCTCCACCTCCCAAAGTGCTGGGGTGACAGGTGTGAGCCACCACGCCCTGTAAGACTCATTCTTGTCGAACTAGAAATCAGAACCAGGAGTCCACATTCTAGCAGATGTAGCCAGGGTACTGAGCTACAAGCACAGGTGAGGCTGCTTCCTCCAGCACTGGGCAGCAGCCCTTCCTGAGGGAAGCAGTATCAGAGCACAGTGAGCTTTGTTCGTGTGTGGGAATGTCGCAAGCAGGTCATCTTGGTCATACAGGGGAGGCAGTAGAGCACAGTGGCCGTAGAGCAGACAGGGGCTTCAGCCCTGGGTCCGCCACCTGGAGCTGGGTGACTGAGCTACCCTCGGCCTCAGTTTCCTTGTCTGCGCTGATAGATCTCACCTACCAGAGTTTTGTGAGCAATCGAAGGTGGTGGCTAGGTGGAATTCCTTATCTGATAACCAATAGTTGTCTTTGCCGTGAAACAAAAAGCTTTTGGGGTTCTGACAGAGGGTCTAAATGAAAGTTTCATGAAGTGTATGTTGTCTGGGCTCCATTATTCAGCGGAAACAAAAGGTAGAGATGGTATTCTCTGGTGACGAGGTGCCTTTTGAGAATAGTTTTTAAAGGAGAGCCCATGTTTTAGAACATTGATGATTTAGGGTTAGGGTTAGGGTTAGATTGGATGCTGTGTAGCCATGGGGTACTTTTTCCTAAAACCTCTTTGCGCCAACATTGAAGACAAGACAGCTGAGTGGGACAGCTCAGTAATGCAGCTGAGAACAACTCACACAGGCCATTCCCTTCCCTGGTCTGAGCTTTCCCGTCTGTGAAAGGAAATGTATTGGCCACTGTGCTTCCTCATGCTGCTGAAGACAGACTAAGCCCAGAAGGAAAGGGGACTGTTGCTTGTAAGAACTTAACTTCTGCCGGGCTCGGTGGCTCAGCCTGTAATCCCGCGCCTTTGGGAGGCTGAGGTGGGTGGATTGCCTGAGCCCGCGGGTTCGAGACACGCCTGGGCAGCGAGACCTCATCTCTACAATAAATCAAAAGATCAGCCGGGCGTGGTAGTGCGCACCTGTAGTTCCAGCTACTTGGAAGGCCGAGGTGAAAGGATCGCCGGAGGCCAGCGGGTCGAGGCTGTGGTGGCCGGGAGTGGCCACTGCACTCCAGTGTGGGCGACAGTGAGACTCCGACTCAAAAAAAAAACAAACTTAACTTGCTTATTTCTGTGGAACTCCAGCTGTTAGAGAAAGTTACACAAGGAGATATGGGCATGGCAGACATACTTCTGTCCACCCTGCCGAGGGATGACATCTATGTGTCCGATGTTGAGGAGGACGACAGCGATGCCTCTCTGGACAGCGATTTGGATCCAGAGGAGCTGGCAGGAGATGGGGGACACCAGGGTGTGGCGGACCACACGCAGTAAGTGGTGAGCAGGTGGAGTGCTGAGCCAGAGTCCAGGCACGTCTTGCTAGTGGGGGGGGGAGGGAGCAAGGACCCTGAGCACTGTGGGTCCCTGCGCCGCTTCCCGTTTTCCTGGGGTCCACAGTGTGCCGTTGGGTGAAGCAGAAGATGACAAGGAGGAGGAAGAAAATCCGCTGCTGGTGCCGCTAGAGGAAAAGGCAGTCCTACAGCAAGAGCAAGCCAACCTGTGGTTCTCCAAGGTGAGGAGAGCTGGGCACGCCTCCAAGGAGGCTGGCATTCGGTGGGAGTGGACGACTGATGTCCCTGCCGCCCACAGGACGGCTTCAGTGGCATTGAGGATGATGCTGATGAGGCTCTGGAGATCAGGCAGGCCCAGCTGCTGCAGGAGAGCCGGCGGAAGAGACAGCCGCCGCCACCTGCCCGCACGAAGACTGAGGACACGTCTCCCCTGGGCCTGGGTAAGGCCCCTGGGGGGACAGAGGCCCCTTCAGCGACAGAAGTTGCCACTGGCCCTGAAGCCGAAGACGGAGGTGGCAGCTCGGACAGTGACAGCAGCAGCAGTGAGGATGGAGAGAGGTGAGGAGCCACAGCTGACGGGAGAGGGATGAAGGGGAAGCGAGCTGGAACGCTGGCTGCAGGTGGGAACTGGGAGCCACTGTCCCAGTGACCCCTAGTGAACTGGTCTGAGCCTGGCCCGGGCAGGGTCTTTGCAAGACCCGAAGCGGTTTTGCATGGGAGGCGGGTTGAGGTGTGGTGGGAGCACAGCCTGGTGGATGGAGTGGAGGATGCTCATGCCCAGGCCTCCTGCACAGCTGGGAACTGTCCTGCGGCAAGACGCGCAGCCAAAGGCCCAAACCGGATGACCACGGGTTTGAGGTGGTGCCCATCGAGGACCCAGGTGAGAGCTACACGCAGTGGCCTGTGAGAGGCCAGTGGGAGTTTCAGTGCTGGGACTCGAGCTCTGACCTTTCTTCTCCCCTCGCCAGGGAAGCGCCGGATACTGGACCCTGAAGGCCTTGCTCTTGGTGCTGTTATTGCCTCCTCCAAAAAGGCCAGGAGAGACCTCGTAGATAACTCCTTCAACCGGTAAAGGGGCCAGAGGATCCCAAGAGGCAGCCCCAGGGGTGGTGGGTGAGGGACAAGGGGCAGTCTTTTCTTTTTTTTGAGTTTTGAGTCTCATTCGGCCGCCCAGACTGAAGTGCAGTGGCACACTCAGGGTTACCCCAGCGCTGACATGTTGGGCTCTGGCGATCCTTCTGCCTCAGCCTTCCAAGTAGACCATTCACTAGCCTCGGCCTCCCAAAGTGCTGGGGTTACAGGCTGAGCCACTGAGCCTAGCTAGTAGTCTCTTTATAGTGTTGAGATCTCACTGTGTCACCCAGGCTGGAGTGCAGTGGCATGATCACAGCTCTCCACACCTCAACCCTTGGGCTCAGGAGATCTTGAGCTACTGCTCTTATCTAATTTTTCTACTTTTTATAGAGATGCGGTCTCACTGTGATGTCCAGGCTGGCCTGAAGTATAAAGTGCTAGGATTACATGCCCAGCTCAGATTCTTTTTAGAAAGCTTGGGTGACTGGTTATGGGGATGGTGCCCTTCTCACCCAGGTATGCATTTAATGAGGACGATGAAGAGCTTCCAGAGTGGTTTGTGCAGGAGGAGAAGCAGCACCGGGTACGGCAGTTGCCCATTGACAAGAAGGAGATGGAACATTACCGGAAACGCTGGCGGGAGATCAATGCACGGCCCATCAAAAAAGTGGCTGAGGCCAAGGCCAGAAAGAAAAGGAGGGTATGTGGTGGGGCTGCTAGAGTGAGGGTGAGGGGTGGGGGGTTGGGAAGAGGTTGTCTGATGGAGGCTCCCTACCAGATGCTGAAGAAGCTGGAGCAGACCAGGAAGAAGGCAGAAGCTGTGGTGAACACAGTGGACATCTCTGAGCGAGAGAAGGTGGTGCAGCTGCGCAGGTAATGGGGGGATGCCCCAGAAGCGCCCAGGGGTGAGCCGGCAGCGGAGAGCCAGCCTCTTACGTACACTCTCCTCTCCAGCCTCTACAAGAAGGCTGGGCTTGGTAAGGAGAAGCGCCAGGTCACCTATGTTGTGGCCAAGAAAGGTGTGGGCCGCAAAGTGCGCCGGCCAGCTGGCGTCCGAGGCCACTTCAAGGTGGTGGATTCAAGAATGAAGAAGGACCAGAGAGCACAGCAACGCAAGGGACAGAAGAGAAAACACCAGCGGAAGTGAGCAGGACTGCTAGGCCCTGGGAAGAGCTGGGACAAAGAGGAGCACCGCCCCGATGGGTCTTGATGGTCTTGCTGAGATCGGTGAGCTGAGTGGCCCGGGGCTCCACATGCAGATCCCAGGCTGAGAGGAGGCTGTCCAGCCTGAAGGTAGCTCCCATGAAAACACTGCCCTATGGTGTTGACAGCCGTGACCCTCCCATGAAGAATGGGGGTGCTGGGTGAAAGCCAAACCTTTCCAAGCCTAAGAGGCAATTTCGTGGTAGGTGGCAGTGTTGACTGCTCCGGCACTGGGCTCTTCCCTTCCCCCAGGAATAAAAACCAGGATGCCGAAGATAATGTCTTTTCTGGTGGCCTAATAAGCTCCCCCTGCGTGTGGGTGGTTGTCCTGTGCTGCACTGTCCAAACGGTAATGTCAGTGTGGACCATGGGGGAGAAATGACAAGCCAGCCACAGGTCCCAGCAGTAGAACCTTTACTAGAGAGCAGGCAGAAAGGATGCACATCTTAAAGAAACCCTCACAAAGTCACAACACTCAAAGTTCGCATAGTTTCCTTTTATAAACAAGATAGAACAAAAATCATCAAAATCATTTCAGCAAAAGATTTTCCTACCATTGGGGCGAATTAAAAAAAAAAAACACACAATGAAATAGAAGACACTTTAAAAGCTGTTATTGGGTTTCTTGTTTTTTAATTTTAAATTGAGCATCACTCAGAGTGGGAGCCACCCTGGAGCCACTCCCAGGATCGTCCCCCCCCAGTCGCAGTGGCTCTGGGTCTGGAAGGCTGCTCCTTCCAACATGTTGTCTCAGGGCTGGACACAAACCTGGCCAGGAAGCCAAGTACCAGCTCTCATTTAGTACCAGTCATCTCCCTTCCCTGCAAACATCAGAACCACCAATTGCTTCCCAACAGCTCAAAGGACTGGGTTTGCAGAAGCCAACTCAAGGGGAACTGCCTGGCCACACAACTAAGAAAAGAACTGACTTATAGATGTTTATAAGGTGACATCTTAGTAAAAAATATAAGCTACATATAATATAAACCTAGAGTGAGTTTTGTGCCCTAGAAGGCCCTTTCTCCCAAGGTAACCTCAACTTACCCTCATGACAACTCACCCAGGACCACAAGTGACTTCTCTGTTCTCACTGCTTCCAGGGACCAAAGTAACTTCCCAAGAAAACATCTGAAAATTCCTTCAGATGAAGGGGTGATGTCTCCAAGTTCCAGCTCTCCCCTAGGGGCAGGGGGTCCTTACACCTTGGACCCTGGCCCAGTCCTGAGACACCTAGTTACCAAAATCTAAAAATAAAATTAACGACAACTGATCCCACACTTCAGCACATACCCTCTAACTGTCCCACCGACTCTTCTTGCGTTTGGGCGGTTCTGGGATAGCAAAGCCATCGGCCGGCTTTTCTGTCTTGCTGTCTGCCTTGTCCACTTTGCCACTGTCCACCTTGGGGTCCGTCTTCTCACGATTACAACCTTCTTTCCTGCTTTCCCCGTTCCGACCATCGCTTGCACCCCGGCTATCCCCATGCCTGCCTGCGTTTCCTCCATGCCGGTTTTCCCCATGCCGATGGCCATCAGTGTGACGGCTGCTGCCTTCCAGGTAGCGGTATCCATCCCCGTGGCGCCCACCATCTCCGTGACGTGGGCTATCGCCATGCCGACTGCCACTCTCGCCGTGACTGTGACGGCTGCCACCCCGGTTCTCAGTGTATCTCTCTCTCTTCCCATTGCCTCCCCCAATGCCTTCTCGGCTGTTATTCCCTGAAGCTGCATTGTTGTTGACTCCCTGGGCTCCAGCAGAAGGGTAGGTCACAGGGGCAGCGCTGATGTTCCCAGTACTGCTAAAGCTTGGGATGCCCTTGGCGGCACTGGCGATGGGACTGTCGGGGCTGCTCTGACCCTGCTGTGCTGAACTAGTCGGAACAGAATTCAAGCTCCCCGCACTAGTCCATCCGCTTGCCCCAGCAGCAGAGCTTCCAGCCTTCTGATTAGTTAAACTGGCCGCAACAAAGTGACTCTTGTACTGTGACTGAAAGAGAAAGAGACAGCAGGAGCGGGTAAGATCGCAAGTTCACCAAACCTAAGTATGTGAGCATGGCAGACGGTAAAGTACAGAAACATTCACTATGCTATCTCTGCACTGACTAGTGTCCTGATGGCCCCACGGCACGCTTCCTTCTGTTCCTATGCTATCAACTCAAGGATCTTTGTGGACAGAGGGATCCGTACCCTGAAACTTACTTTGGCTAGAATAAAAGCACCTATGAATACAGTAGTTCACGTTTAGGGTATGCAAGCTTTTGTGTCCCCTCAATAATCCTACTTTCTAAAACAAAAAACAACAGCAAAAACTTGACAGCAAAACCTGACTTGTACTGAAGCCATGTAGTTTCGATCTGCTCTGCTTAGCGTGACTTAACTCCATTTTGCTTCAGAAGCCAGTGAGATAATGCAAGTGTAGTTGCAGACCTTGGTGGGTGTTAGGGGAAGAGGACTATGCGTCGCATTCCCCTTCTCACTCTGAAACACAAACAACCCTCAATTCCTAAGCGAGAGTTTCTGTATTTCTCTAATCATGAAAACCACAAGAAAAATCTTGGGACCAAATCAAAATATCAGTCTGGAGACAAAGTATGTAAATCAAGGCCCACCCAGTTAACTGGATGCTCCCTAGCCAACTGGAAGGGTAGGTGGGTGTGGAAGGAGGGCAGGTTCACAGATAGCAGAAGCAAACTTGCCATAGTCAAGAAGATGGCACTTACTCAGCCAGATGACGGAAACAGCAGAGGGGCCGCCACAGGCTGCTGGGAAGGGAGGGAGCTGCAGGACCACTCCAGGCTTAGAGTGAGTGAAATATGGCTGACATGAGTGCTTCTCAGACCTACACCTGTATCTCTAGGTAAGCTACTGTAGAGTTTATATTCAAATTGCAAGTAATGAGGAGGCCCTGTATTTAGCATCATGCCTACAGGCCCACCTACCAGCTCAGGACACTAGGACCCTACGCCACTGCCCAAAGGTCACTGCTGAAAGCTCGTATCATGAAACACTTGTTCAGACCTGGAAAGCTGCTTTCATGGCCGTCAGTCGATCCCCCATGGCTCCCGTGGATGGCTTGTAAGCCTCATAATTACTCATGACATTATTATTTCCTCGGTCCTGAAATGCAAACACACCTGTGAATAAGATCGAAAAAGCAGCAGGAGGGCCCATTGCCAGAGCCTGGGCCATGCCACACGGCAAACGCCTGAGAGTATGAGCTGCAACGGGAGCACTGTAGAAGGTCACTTAGACTTTGTGGGAGAAGGTGTGGTAACTAGTCAGCATTTTAAGATGCTTACACCCCTCAACCCAGTAATTCTATTTTTGGGAATTAGCCCTAATCACACATGCAATCAGATTATGCCTAGAGTAGATTATGTTTGTGTATACACAAGCACACTTAAGTAAAAATGACGCTAAAGGTGAGAGGCCCACAATATAGCCTCATGTGAGACTGCCCAGGCTCTACATCAAGACCATGGAGGGTCTGAGCATCAGCCTCAACATTCAGTGGGATTATCTGGGCTGACTGACATTGGGTGGTTTTAAAGATGAACTGAATTGACATGTGTGATTGCCTGGGATGGTCTGGACACATACAAAGTATGCAATAAATGTTGCCTATTGCCATTAAATGCATTAGCACCACCATTAGCACAATGTAGGAACAGAGTATTCATTTATCAAAGATGCCAACTTTAGCTAGAATGCTCCAGAAATGTATAGGCAGCTTTCTTCCCTGCTTAGCGATCAAAGTGACAGAAAACAGTCAGAAAGCCACTGAAGGGGTGCTTTTGTTGCCTTGTTTGTGAGAAACACTAGCTCACACCTCTCTCTGATACACTTTCCCAGACACGAAAGTTCCTGGTCCAGCCTGAGCTGAGGGACAAGATGCAGTTACTCTACCCAGCAGCCCATTGTGCCGACTCCTTAGTAGCTCCAGGCAGTGCTGGAGGGCTTCTTAGGACAGACTGTGGGCCCCAACTCCAGAGGTTCTGATTCTCCATGTCTGGGGCCAGGGAGAAGTCTGCATGTGCTACTGGTCCAAGGACCACCGCAGGAGAGTTGCTGGTGATCTAGATGCATTCCTAGCAAGTCTCTTCTCCAACAGAAAGTTGCCTCAGGAAGCAGCACTGCAGTGACAGCAGATTCAATACAAACTCCCATCTGAACTCTCTCAAGCTTTCTTAGGCAGATCAGAAGAGTCCTAATGACATGCAAGATGTGGGCCAATCCAAAGGCACTAATGCAGTCTGGACTCACCGTGTTCTCAGAGCCCAGGCCAGGTCGCTCCCTGTAGCCCAGGCCTCCACCACCAATGTTTAGCTTTTTCCCTTTCCCTCCTTTGAAGCGGGATTTCCGAAACCAGGCATTCTGCAACGAACACAATTTAAGGCTAAGTCAAGGGAGGGAGAGAAGGCCAGAGGAAGAGGGCAAGGTCAAAGAGGAAATCAGGTGGGAAGAGAGAATGTTTTGCTTCATCTTTAGCATTTATGACAACAGACGGGCTTCCTCCTGGCAGTAAAGCTCAACCGATTTGCCAGAATGCTTAAGATTCTTTGAAAGGCTTCCTTTAGTGTTTCACCCTAAAGGGCCTCCTGGAAGGAAAGTGATCAGATATGCTTCAAATGCAGGAGTCCCTCTGGCTACTTCTAACTTCCTTGAGGAAAATGAGTTTATTTTTTATTTCTCGAGCCACCTATGTACCCTATTGGGCGTAAAAACTGGGAGCTGAATTTTAAAGAGCTGGTGTGTTCGGAAGTGGAGGAAAAAAGCAAAGAATGGCTTATTAGAACTGGCTCTAGGAACAGGCTCCCAGAAAGGACTGAAAGGACTCCCAGAAAGGACACAACTGAAAACGTTATTTACCCTCAGAGCATGAAGTTTGCATCGACCTTGTCCACTGCCAGAATACTACTCCCCAGGTTGATTCCTCTTCTACGAAGGCAAACATCTCTGGGGAGGCTAAAGCTCTGTCTGACAATCTCATGCTGCTGCTACAGTGCTAGCAAAGCAGGCAGCTTGGGGACTGTGCTGGGCAGAGAGAGCCTGCAGCACAAAGGGAGAGGCAAGAAAATGCCAGAGACAAATGTATCCTGTTTAAAAACAGTTCGAGATCAGCCCCCGACACCCAGGACATGAGGAGGGAACACCATTCTCCTCTCTCCTGTGCAGTCACCAGCAACCTTCTTATGTCCCGAGAGGGACTTGCACAGCAAGTACTTTGCTCCTAGACCAGGAACTCAGGCAGCATCATACTACAGTTAGCATCATACTATAACTCTAGGTTACCAGTTGTGTGGGCTAGCCTGGGCATCTGACATCTGCTCCCTAAGTGTTCTGATCCCATCTGTGGCATGGGGACTGCATGTATTAAGATGGACCAGGCTGGGAGCTGTGGCTCACAACTTTAATCCCAGGACTTTGGGAGACTGAAGCGAGAGGATTGCCTGAGCCCACAGGTTTGCTATCAGCCTGGGCAACTTGGAGAGACCTCATCTCTACAATAAATCAAGAAAAATTAGGCGGGTGTGGTGGCTCATGCCTGTAGTTCCAGTTACTTGGAAAGCTGGGGTGGAAGGATTCCCTGAGCCCAGCAGGTCAAGGCTGTGCTGGCCGTGAGTGTGCCACTGCACTCCAGTCTGGTGACAGAGTGAGACTCCAACTCAAAAAAAAAAAAGATGATGCCAGGTTTCTCTTGGTAGAACACGCCAGGAAGAGGGCAACTGGTGTGGCCAGAGGTCTGAGGTCTGTCTGCAAGGAATAGTGAGGAGGCACTGTACACTCTTTTTAAGGATACCACATCATCTTGAGGCCCTAAAAGAGAAGGCTTTTGCGGGGGGAGAGCAGTCAGGAACAGTAACCATCTTTGAGTTTAAATATATTGATAAGTGTATTATGAAGTAAGCAGGTAGAAACCACAGGGTCAGATTTTAGCACAAAGAGACAACTTTAACACGGACACTGTTGGCCCTCTGTACTCAGATGTACCCTTTGAAGGGACATTGGAAATCTACCAAAACACTTGGATGTTCCCTCTCAGGGGACATAAGAAGGTTCCTGGTGACTGCACAGGACAAAGTTATGCAAGCACAAATGTTTAAGAGATTTATGTTCCCTTGAAGTTTTCCACTCAAAACCAATGAAAAACCCGTGTCCCATTTGAAATTTGTCAAACTTCTACTCGATCATTTGAGAAACGCCTTTCAGGAATCATGAGTTCATCCTTCCACACTGTCTTCCAACAACAGATTGGACAATAAATTACATACTATTTATGTGGGAGTAAGAAAACGAGACTGCACTGTCTGCTAAAATAGAAAAACACCAGGTAGAAGACATCTAACAAATTACTATTGCATAACATGTATCAACAAACCTGCATGGCATGTCAGTGACTGTTTCTCATGTTACCACACGTTAGAAAAACATAAGATAGAATGGCCACTGCACTCCAGTCTTGGCGACAGAGTGAAACTCCAACTCAAAAAAAAAAAAAAAAAAAAAAATTGATTTTTTTTTGGTCATAAATAAGTTCTTCAATGTCCAAAATTCCATATTAAGCTGAATATCATTACAATAAAAAAAACTGGTTCCAATGCTATATATAGCAATCTGACATGTGCCCAGTCCCTCACCTGCATTGCCAGGTCTAGAAGTTCCTTGGAAACATGCTGATTGGCTCCTTCCAAATTCCGGACAAGGTCACCAGCAAAATTGCTGTCCTTGGGAGTCAGTAGGGTATAGGCCACACCCTTCTCACCTGCTCTTCCCGTGCGGCCAATTCTATGAGTATGGGTATCAATGTCTCGTGCCACATCATAGTTAATTACAGTCTTAATTGAAGGAATGTCCAGACCACGGGCTGAAAGAAAAAGCCACAAGATTCTTTTATTCTTCACCTGTAGTCAAAAGACCAAAGTACAATAAGTCTTAATTGAAGGAATGTCCAGACCACGGGCTGAAAGAAAAAGCCACAAGATTCTTTTATTCTTCACCTGTAGTCAAAAGACCAAAGTACAATAAGTCCCCTACATTCGAACCTTTAAGTTGTGAACTTTCAGAGATGCACTCGCATGTCCAGTCACATGTTAGTTCACATGTCTGGTGTACATACAGTCCCTGTATGCCAGCTGTTTACTGTACTACTGTATTTTTCAAGGTACTGTAGTGTAAAATTACACTTTTTTTTGTTTTTTACATGTTACTTGTGTGTAAAGTATTATAAACCTATTACAGTATAGTATTACATAGCCAAATGTGTTTGCTGAGTACCTAGGCTAACTTTGTTGGACTTATGAACAAACTGGATTTACAAACATGCTCTTGGATGGGAACTCGTTTGTATATTGGGGACCTAACTAGAAACAGAAATGCTGGTGCTCTAAGAACTCAGATTTCTCTTATGGAGGCAAAGTGCATGGATTTAAGAGTTGAGATACAGGTATATAAGGTACCTTTCTAAAACAAAGGTCACCAGCACGGATTCTATGATGCCAGGCCATCTAGCATAAGGGACTTGTATCTTTTGCCATCAACAGCCTGCCATACCCTCTCTCTCTTGCACTGGGAATAAATTTAGAAATGTGCCTTAAAACCAAATGTGCTCTCCTTCTGGTAAAAAAAAGAATTTTTTAAGGGTAGTTATTAAGACTTGGCACAACAAATACAATCACAGCCTCAAAATTTTTCTGAACTCGAGTGAAACTTGCCCAACTAAACTGCATACAGTAGCTAAGGGTAGGATACTGACTGTATTCAAACGCACACGAAGGGCCCTGCCTTTTCCCCTCTGTGTCCTCCAGGTGCAGAAATTCTTTGATCAGGGAGAAATATGAAATGCAGAGCAACATCCAAAGCTCTAGACTGTGAAACCCCATGTGAGGTGCCACCTCACCAGGAATGGCTGGCCAGGTTATGTTCAGCCTGCTCAGGAATGACAAGTCTTATAAAGTAAGACAGAGCGACCTCACAGCGTGGGCAACTGAAGCATTGGGAAAGTCACACTCTACCTGCAACATCTGTGGCCACCAGGACGGGGATGTCCTTTTTCTTAAAGTCAGAAATGACCTTGTTTCTCTCACTCTGATCCATGTCCCCATGAAGCAGTCCAAGGTTATGGCCCTCCTGCTTAAGGTTACTGGCTAGCTCTTCAGCATTGGCTTTTTTAGTAACAAACAGGAGGACACTCCCAGAAGAGGTAAACTCCACCAAACGCCGAGTAAGCCAGTTCCATTTACTAGGCCCGGAATGGAGAATCTCCACAATCTGTGTCACATCTTCGTTTGCCTGAGAGGGAAGAAATGAAACAGATGACTATGACTCTGATATCAACGGAATCTGAACAAGGGCTAGGCATTATGTTTGCTACTTGCAAGTGCTTTTCTCCTTGGACCTTCCTTCAGTAAGTCAAGGTTGGCTCAAAACTTACCTCTCCCTCTAATGACCTTGCTTTTCACCTAGTGCACAGACCTGCCAAATTTGTACACCCCACTTTTTCACATGCCTATTCAGATTACTCACAATAGAGAATCTCTTCCACTCAGTGTTCCTAGTACAAGTTACACATGTGCTTACAAATGAAAGTCAGTCAATGGCAGATGCTAACGACATAAGAACTTCAACGATGATTATGGCAACCAACTGCAAGAATACTCTCAAAAGCCTTAACTGAATCCCAAGTCCCAGTTCAGAGACAGTTTCTACACAGGGCATATGTACACGGAAGAAGGGAAACCCTAATTCATTTTCACTAGGCTTTTCAGTCACCCTCCCACTGGTGCAGGCCTCTTCCCACAATCATTTACAATGACAGGTCCAGCCTAACTCACTGGGCAGGCTTCCAGGCAGACCTTTTTGTTTCTTTAAAGAAAATAAAATTAGGCAGGGGTTGCTGGCTCAGCCTGTAATCCCGCTGCACTTTGGGAGGCCAAGGTGAATGAATTGCCTGAGTTCGCAGGTCTGAGACCCGCCTGGGCAATTTGATAAGACCTCATCTCTACAATAAATCAAAAAATTAGCTGGGCATGGTAGCGCACGCCTGTAGTTCCAGCTACTTGGAAGGCTGAGGCGGAAGGATTGCCAGAGCCCAGCAGATCGAGGCTGCGGTGGCCGAGAGTGTGCCACTGCACTCCAGTCTAGGCAATAGAATACGACTCCAACTCAAAAAAAAAAAAATCTTGCCGGGTTCGGTGACTCAGCCTGTAATCCCGGGACTTTGGGAGGCCGAGGTAAGTGGATTGCCTGAGCCCGTGGGTTCGAGACCCACCTGGGCAACTTGGCATGACCTCGTCTCTACAATACATCAAAAAAATTAGCTGGGCTCGGTAGCACGTGACTGTAGTTCTGGCTACTTGGAAGGCTGAGGCGGAAGGCAATCGCAGCCCAGCAGGTCGAGGCTGCGGTGGCTGGGAGCATGCCACACTGCACTTCAGTCTGGGCGACAGTGAGACTCCAACTCAAAAAAAGAAAAAAATAATCTTTTTAAATTACAGAAACTGTTAAACATTCAAACAAGAACGAAATGAACCAAATCAATGCACCAACTCATCACCCACTGTCAGCAACTGCCAATATTTTGCCAATCTTATTTCATCTATCCCCCCATTTTTATTTTTTGAAGCAAATCTGAAACGCTTCGCCTCATCCGGAAACATAGCATCTTTATGTTTTTATCTCAACGGTGAGAAATCCATTCTATGTTCTATAGTATAAGAATACACCCCAGGGTCCCATTTAGCCCTGTGCAGGGTTACCTCGCCAATATCTCCCTGCACCACTCGAATAGGGTCGATCAGGATGTCTCTGGCCAACTTTTCAATCTTCTTCCGAAAAGTTGCACTGAATAAGAGAGCTAAAAGGTAAAAAAAATTCCATTAAAGCATGACTTCTTCATTGAACACCCACTAAACCCTCTAGACATTCAGAATTACTCAGTGTTTTTAACATAAACCCACTGAAACTTTAAATCTAGTTTAAAAACTGATTTGCCCTCATCCTATTTTTATTATATTTTCAGCTGAAACAAGCCATCAGCATGGTTCAGAAAAAGACTCTTGATTCAAATGAGCAGATCGGCACTGCACATTGCCTCTACCCACTGATAAAACTGGGTAACCTCTGAGTCTTGGTTTTATCATCTTAACGAGTAGGTTTCATCCGGTGATCTCTACGGTCCTGCCCAACTCAGAGGAGCTCATTGTCTCCCTCTCGATGGTTCTCACCAGTACACACAAGATCAATTTTATTTCCATGACTGAGTGTTTATGAAATAGGTGCTCATTCTGAGTACCAATGTGGTTTGATAAAGGTGTTTAATACATACTCTGTCTGTCAGGACGAACATGACTTGCTATGGATCGAACCTGGTACTCTGGAAGAAGCAGAACAGTAAAATTAACATAAACCTGTGATACAATTTGAGAGGCCTGAAAAAAGTCATTTAAAGTCTTCATGATAAGTTATTAAGAATTAAGGAAAATTTGAAATTCCCTAGACACATCATTCAGTTAAAACTGAAAAAAATGTTCCTTCCATTCAGCAAGTGTGGGTCTGGCAGTGTTCCAATCAGTAAAAATAGAAATATTCCCCCTATATACAAAAGTGCTTTCAAATTTCCTCAACCCCATCAAGTCTAATATACTTTCCTGAGAAAATATTAAAAATAGTTAATGTCTTAGCTATATTTCCACAGTCTAACACTACCCAGGAGTATTTTTAGCTTCTCTCATGCTGGAAAAAAAAAATTGCTTAGTCTAGAAAGACACGGAAAAAAGTATTATCGTGAGGATGGGGACAGAAGAAACTGGTATTCAAGGCATACCAAATCCCATGTCAAACATTCGATCTGCTTCATCAAATACAAGGTAAGAGACTCTTTGAAGATTGGTGGCTTTCTTTTTCACATGATCAATCAGTCGACCCTATGGGATCCACAAAGCAAATAATAAGTATAATTAAAAGCATTCACAAGGATATTCTGAAGTTGTGCTTCTGGCAAAAATGCTATTTCTCCAGTCTTGGACTAGAAGAGGTAGCTTTCCCACTGCCTGTTTTGGCAATACCAATCATGTCTCCGGCACTTCATGTACTACACAGCCCAAGAGAAGAGAAGTTTTGAAAACTCAATTAGCTTCTTCCTTTATGTTGTGACTTAAGTTCTTTAGAAAAGTGGTCAGAGACATTTAAAACATATTAACAGGTTCTTATGTTTAGACCACACTCTTCTGGGCAGTTATGATCATATTCTGAATAGCTTTCTGATTCTTGATGTTCTTGGTAACATTTTCTAGGAGAGTATAAGAAAAACTATCTAAAATAGAATTTGCAGCTACTAACGCTTATGTCACAGAGGCTCTTACTGAACTGCTAACTTAGCCACCAATCAAAACCACAGGGTGCCATTTATCAGGACATTTTCAACTCTGCTTTACCAAATTTTAGGGGAAATTCCCTGCAAAAACAACCATGTTCTCCATAGCAAGAGAGGCTGAGAAGCCACTTAAACATAAGACCTACTTACTGGAGTACACACAACAATCTCTGCTCCTTCCTGAAGGGCCTTGGCCTGCTCCCACATGCTCCCTCCACCATACACGGCCACTGATCGAAGATTATATGCTTTTCCAAACCGCTTACATTCTGCATGGATCTACAAAGTTGTTAGAAATATATGAACAAACTGTGACACTACTAAATCCCTCTATCACAATCCAAAAGGGAGTTCAAAAAAAGTGTTATGCCATAAAAAGTCAAAGCCTAGAACATGCTTTAGAAATCACAATTTTATTCACAAAGGTATAAATGAATAGCAGGATACCATTATCACATCTCAACAGGATATCTGAAATCCTGCCTCATTCCTTTGTACCCTTCTCCTGATCCTGTCACTGCCTTTCCACCAAGAAAAATGAATTCATCCCAGAGAAAAACACTGTAAGGTCATAATACAAACAATCTCCATATCATGCTACGACTTTCCTCTTAAGACATTGTTTATAGGGGGAAGTGTGTATTTGGTTACATAGAAAATACTTAACACTTAATACTTTCCAGGAGTTTTCTGCTAGCATGACAATGTGAAAATATTTAACGTCACTGAACTCTGAAATGGTCAAGATAGTCAATTTCGTGTGTACACAAATCAAGAACGAAGTTTCCTGGTTGCCTCCCTACTTGATGGGCTGGTCCCCTTCTAGTCCACATGTGGAGAAGGTACTCTACACAAAGCACATACCTGCTGGCAAAGCTCCCTGGTAGGACACACAATCACTGCAATTGGTCCATCACCTGGTTCTAGCTCCTTCTGATCCATTATATGAATCAACATGGGCCAGATAAAGGCTGCAGTTTTCCCACTGCCTGTTTTGGCAATACCAATCATGTCTCTGCCACTTAATGCCACAGGTACACCCTGGAGAAAAAAAACAGAATATATCTGCTCTAAAATTTCAATTTTACAGATGTACTGAAGGAAATCCTGGGACAGGATAAATGACTAATAATGATATTCATGTGCAATGGAACAAAAATATCCTGGGTTATGCAGCTGTGGAACAGTGAGAAATACCTGCTATTCTTGATTTATTAAAAAAAAAAACAAAACAAAACACATCATTCTTTCCATGTGGATCAGCCACCATTTACAGAATATATGTCATTTTGCTTAAAATATAGAAATGAAAAGTCACAATTTATAACAAAGTAAGTGGTTGCTAAAATTTATAAAAATGTTCACCCCTTGAGAAGGTACAGGCTATCTCATTCATATACAGAAAATTCTCATAATGAATGGATCCCATATATAAACAGGAAACAGAAGCTACCAATTTCAGTAATAAGAATTTTCAGAGCCGGGCTTGGTGGCTCAGCATGTAATCCTACACCTTAGGGAGGCTGAGGTGAGTGGATTGCCTGAGCCTGTGGGTTCCAGACCTGCCTGGGCAACTTGGCGAGACCTCATCTCTACAATAAATCAAAAATTGGCCACGTGTGGTAGCACGCGCCTGTAGTTCCAGCTACTTGGAAGGCTGAAGCGGAAGGATCGCCGGAGCCCAGCAGGTTGAGGCTGCGGTGGCTGAGAGCGGCCACTGCACTCCAGTCTGGGTGACAGAGTGAGACTCGAACTCAAAAAAAAAAAAAAAAGAATTTTCAGATCACAGACAAAGGAATTCTAGTCATTGGTAGTGCTAAACTTGGCCATGCACAAGTTTTTGTTAGGTTTAGGCCTAATAAATACATAAATGTCTTCTTTTAGACCACATTTTCAGAATTTATACTTATCAGATATAAAAGAACATTTCACAGCCACTTAGCAACATTTTAGAATGGTAAATAATTCACATTTACTCTAATTTTTAAAGGTTTCAAAAATATTCTTGGATTTCATGAATGTCTTTTCTTCCCTTTAAAAAAAAGCAAAGGGCCAGGCTCAGTGGCTCAGCCTGTAATCCCAGCACTTTGGGAGGCTGAGGTGAGTGGATTGCCTGAGCCTGTGGGTTCGTAACCAGCCTGGGCAACTTGGCGAAACCTCATCTCTACAATAAAATAAAAAATAGCTGGGCGTGGTAACGCGTGTCTTAGTTCTGGCTACTCAGAAGGCTGAGGTGGAAGGATCGCTGGAGCCCAGATGGTCAATGCTGGGGTGGCTGTGAGCATGCGTGCCACTGCACCCCAGCCTGGGTAAAGGAGTGAGACTCCAACTCAAAAAAAAAAAAGAGGCAAAGGTTGAAGACTAAGCCACAGAGGACTGGTTTAATGCTTTGACTTGTTTGCAAACTAAAAGTAGCCACAAAAGATTATACTACTTCATTTTCTTTCACTATGTTTCACTTACCTGGCATTGTATTGGAGTGGGCTGTGTGTACTCAGATTTTCGAATCTGGTGCATAAGTTGTTCATCAAACCCAAAATGAGCAAAGCTACTTCCTGGTCTAGGGGGTGCCGCGCCAGAGACCTAGAAACAGATACAACTGCCAAGAATGACTTGTACTTCAACATAAACAGTATCTTAAGTTCAACAATACTTACCTGGATCTAGCATTTTAGCTTGAGTATTAAGAAGTGAAAATAACAAGGGTAACTGCATAATCAATATTTGAATACCTAACCCTGAATTGTACCCCACATCTTTATGATAAAAAATAAATTATTTTTAAAAATATTTAAAAAAAAGAAGTGAAAATATAAGTCTGTAATCAAAAGCATGCACTAAAAAGGCAAAACTTCATATAGTAACAAATAAACTTCATATAAAAACTCCATGATAAATATTCCTGAGATAATTCTGTCATGATTTAAAATTGTAAGCATCTAAAAGTCTCTTAAAGAAAAATTAATTTTCTCATTTCCTTTCTCAAAGAAAAAACACTATAAGTTTATAGCACAAACAATCTTCATATCACAATACTACTTTCCTGTTAAAATAGTAGATTATGGGAGAAAGTGTGTATTTGGTTACACAGAAAATATTTAACACATAATACTTTCTAGCAGTTTCCTGACAGCACGACAATGGAAGAACAGAAGAGGGAAGAAAATTTTTTTAATAAATTGGGAAAAGTCATTAATGTCTTTTTTTGCCATTCTGCATAACTATTAACCAGATGGTAGAAAAAATACATTTTACTTAGTGAAATGAAAATTGCAAATGAGCAACAAATAAGCCTAGACGCGATGGTTACAAAGATAAAATCTCCCAGCTCCATTTTCAGTCATGCCTTATCCCTGAGTGATGCGCCAGCCACTGTCAAGCACGCTCCAACTGTGCCCAGGGGAAGAATGGAGTTTTTGGCCTCTATCTGTTACTAGTGAAAACTTTTCAATGCTTCCCGAATGGTGCTAATATTTCCAAATCACGATTTCACATAAAATGTTTTTTGAGGGGGACAGGTAATCTCTTGGAAAACAGACAAGTACACATATACATCCCTCTTGAAAACAGGAGCTCACATATCATGTAGCACTGGTAAGGCAGACACAGGCCAGAAATCTCTCCACACCAGAGTAGATAATCAGATTTTCTCTGTATTTCACTTAATCTCTATCAACCCTAAACAACGTGCAACCCAAAACTTTTTGGCAGGCAACTGACACTATTCCAGAATTAGTGCACACATGTTTTCAAAAGGAGTTAATTTCTTCTATTTTTAAAAAGTATATCATTTGAGAAGCAAGTTTATCTTAACTTCACAATAGTCTAGGATTTCATATGTTGTTCACGTCTGCTAATTTGGTTTCATCTTCCTTTAGGTGGGATTCCTATGCTTCATTGCCAGTCTACCCAGCACAGAACATTAAAAAGCTGAACACATGAAAGAAAACACGATCCGATCCTAAAATATCATCCGCAGGGCTAAAGGAATCAAATCGAGACACATGAGCCCAAGGGATATAATAATTAAGACAGTTCAGATCATTAGAAAAAAAAATTCAAAATAATTACTTTGGATAAGCAATATAAAATCTGGACTAATTAATATTAATATAAGAATACTAGGCTTAATGATTCTCTTACCCGAAGATTGAGCTTATGCCGGAGATCTATTAACTGCTGTGGAGTGAGGTTGGTTATCTCTTCATGCTCATTGTAAAAATTTTTTTCAAATGGTGGATAGTCAATCTGCAGGTCCAATTATTCAAAGTTAGTCTAGAATTCAAGAGTCAATCCTGTAAGTTTGATTTTAATGCAAAATAACATTTTACAAATATTATACAAACCATTCCAGCTAGAGAGAGCAAAGGAATTTATTCCTGACATATATCCTAAAAAGTACAGTTAATGTTTTCTATTCCTATATATATTCAATATAGACAACCTACTTCCTAAAAAGAACTCTTCCTTTTTTTCTTTTAAGATGGGGGCTCTCTCTGTCGGCTAGGCTGGAGTGTAACAGTGTAATCATAGCTCATTCCAACCCCAAACTCCTGGGCTCAAGCGATCCTCCCACCTCAGCCTCCCTAGTAGCCAAGACCACAGGTACATGCCAGCGTACCCTGCTAAGTTTTCGAACTTTTTCCGTAGAGAGGGGGTCTTGCCATGTTGCCCAGACATGTGTTTTTCCTTGAGATGATGATCATATTTTGGTATACAACAGAAATACTCTATGTTTACTTATCCTTTTATCACAGAGTAAAGAGCCATGCAGCTCAAGAGTCATGAGTTTACTACATGATAACTTGACTGTTTCAGTGAGGACACTCTTCAGGGAAACTGGCTCTCCCCCTCCTTACCTCCAATGGTCTGTCAGGGGAGAATATGACTTCTAGAACACACTGGAGCCACTGGCTTGATTCAAGCTAAGGCATCAGAAGCAGGTTTACCTCCCACTGCTTCTAATACCATAAACACAAATGCTGACGCAGTGGAAAAGGAGAATAATCTGAGTATTTTGGAACTTCTGACTTTGTAGACTCCCTAAAAGGGTCACTTCGGGAGTCCTTGAACCATACTCTGAGAATGACTTTGAATTCTGCTCTAGCTCTAGAATGACTAGGGCAGGCAAGGCTGACATTTCACGTGGATGAAACACTGATGTTTCTTCAAGTGAGTACACCGATATCCTCATTTCCTTTCCTGACTAAGGAACCTGTAATTCCGGGATCCACTTTGAAGAAACAGGCTCTCCTCTGCCCCAGATCTGGGCGCAACAGTAGAGACTTACAGCAGTTAAAAAGCAAATGCGCCTCAGGGGTGGTGGGCACCTGTAGTCCCAGCTATTCAGGAGGCTGCGAGGGGAGAATCACTTGAGCCAGAGTTTGATTCCAGCCTGGGAAACATAGCAAAAATGAAACAACAACAAAAACACTGGCCCAAGGGCCCATTTTAGAAGGAAGATGGCAAGTATTGCCCCAGAAAACAAGTACAATTGCTTGGGGAAAAAACTCTTAAAATCCTAAAATCAAATGTGAGCAAGTGGGTGGGTGTAGTGGCTCATGTCTGTAATCCCAGCACTTTGGGAGGCCAAGGTAGGAGGACTATTTGAAGACAGGAGTTGGAGACCAGCCTGGGCAACATTGCGAGACTTCATCTCTACAAAAACTCAAAAATTAGCCAGGTGAAGAGGCGTGAATCTGTAGTCCTGGCAATTCGGGAGGCTGAGGAGGAAGGATCACCAGAGCCTAGGAGGTCAAGGCTGTGGTGGGCCATGATCGTACCACTGCACTCCAGCCTGGGTGACAGAGTGAGACCCTGACTTAAAAACAACAACAAAACAAACAAACGAGCAAGGGACTCAGTTGTATTTTCAACAAGACAGACTACAAAGCCCCATGAAATCTGTCTCAACCACTTAGCAGAGATGAAATAAGTACAACTATGCTCACGACATCAAGATTATTCAGCTATTGGGAGAACTCAATAATTAAGGTGGAGGAAAACATATCAGTTTGACCCAATTCAGCAAGAAACACCGTACTTCTGAGTGATCAATGGGAGGAAGAGGATCGATGATCTTTTTGGAAGGCGCAATGGGATTTCCATCACTGTCGTATTCCAGGTTGTCTTCCTCTTCCTCCTGAACCACACCAGCCGTTGGATTCTCTGCCATGTAGCGAAAATAAGCTTCCTGCAGGAAAGCACAAGAACATAATCACACACAAGGATGGCTGAGAATGTCTCTACACCTGTCAGTAGTGCACACAGTATACCAGACGACTGCACAGTTAAATACCTACCAAGTAAGGCAAGACCTTTACTAGTAACAATTCCTTAGCAATAGTAGTATTCAGAAAGACAATCAGAAGAAACGAATCAGACAGCTAGCACTATATTATTTAACTTGTTTAACATTAGACTTACAAGTCTGTCTGTTCCACAGCCTTCCGGGGTGGGATGTCTACCCACTCTGCCCAGAGCTGTAGAACACATGCTGTGGTTTTATTAGTCCAAGTTTGGAAGCTGACACTGATTAGAAAGGACACAAACCTTGAAACTGCTCACTCTGGTTCTCATCATTCCACAACTGAACAATGGGGAAAAGAATACTAATGGACAGTCATTAATGTTCCACCTTCAAATATAAGAATCACAAACAGAACTCACAGTAAGAGGTAGAGGTCAGATGTTTGAGAGGCCATCAGTAGATCCCATACTACTCTATCACGTGATTTACCAGAAGAAACATTGGTTTTGGATTTAAAAAGAAGCAAGGAGAATAAAGCTCATGCTTGTTTTCGATGTCATAGCTGACCAAAAGTTCCGCCTTCAAACATGGGGGAGAGCCATGTGAATCTATTTATTACCAACTGGTCACACAAGTGTAAAAGAGCAAGTCAAATGACTTTTCCTGCGGAATGTCAGGAATGGCCCTTTCAAGTGAAGGCAAGTTCTAGCTTGCCCCTAGTATAGACTTTGTGGGGTAAAAATAAAAGATAGAAATACTGCATAGGAACTCACTTGGTCATCTTCCTCTTCAATGTCATCTCGAATACCCCTGGAAAAACAAGCGGAGAAACAAACTTCCCTGCAAATGTTCCACATACCCAGCTCCATACTTACAGCAGATTAGTGTTGAATTCCATACAGCATAGGAACTCTCAACACTAACAATAACAAAGCAGCAATAAGCACAATGTAAACGCATCATATCTGTGATGTGTAAGCTAGAGTTTCCATTTCTTTTAAAGGTGATGATACAGTACTCCCAGAAACATCAATTACTAACACTGGTATAAAAGTGGTAAAAACTTTCTGAATACAGGCACAAAAATATCCTAGCTCTGTCAACACATATGACAAACAAAATGCAGTGGTGAAAAACATTTCATATGAAAAAGGGGAAAAAAAGTGTCTCGCGTGTGTTATATACTAAAAAGAAGGTCACAACTGTCTTATTGTTCCCATAGTTTCTACCTCTAGGGTAACTGCATTCAGCCAAAATCAGTTACCTGGAGGATGGGGACAGAAAGAAAAACCATGTGAACTCCTTTATGAGTTTGGGTCTAAAACTCCTCAACAGCTCACATGGAAGAGAGGACCATCACCATTTGCTGTACTTCTCAGGAGAGGTACATGGTTGCTTGAATGCCACAACCATCTCCTTCTAATCAGGATTCCTGCCTACTTGCTATTTCTAAGGCAATCAGCAAGCAACACCAGAGTAGGGCAGTTAGAAGAGGGTACAACATACAGTAAGTACCGAACAGAGAGGGCTGAACCTCTACATGGCACAGAAACCTTGGGAAGGGTCTGGAGTAACAACTGCTAAGCAGAGGGAGAAAAAGTCCAACCATGCCGGTAGAAAAGGCTTTGAAATATATTTAGCAAGGCAAACAGGAGGTTTCTCTTTCATAGAAAATAAGGGACACTCAAGTTCTGACATCACTGATAATGTATGATGTTACTCCTTAAATAAAATTAGATTTGATTATAGTCCTCCTTACACGCAGGTTTTGTGTCTTGTGAATACTGTATTTTCTTTCAACCCATGTTTGGTTGAAAAGACTCTGCAAATAAGTGAACCCACATAGCTCAAACCCGTGTGTTGAAGGGCTAACTGTAAATCATTTTTATTTTATGATCACCATTACTTCTCATAATCAACCATTCGGGCATTAACCTATTTTAATTGTGGCACAAACTCAGAACAATGAAACCAAACTTCAGAAATTATGCTCCTATAACTTCTACTGTAATTCATTTTGATGTTTACTAAACAACTATTTATAGTGAAAGACCAAATACTACTCTACCAAACAGAATTAATGTTTTGTTTTTTTTTGTTTTTTTATGAGACAGGGTTTTGCTCTGTCACCCAAGCTAGAGTATAGTTGTATGATCAGAATGCTTTTTATTACAAATGCAAAGACTTTTGCCATCTCTAAACCTAAAGAAACATTCAATACATAGGGATAACTTCAAATAAAGACATTTTCAGACATCAATATTTTTCTTTATACACTTTAGGGGAATAGGCTTTGCAATACTTTCACAATTTTCATGTAATCCCTGTGAGAGAGAAGAAAACAACTTACTTTACATTTTTTCTTTCCTTGTCTTTGTCTTCCAGTCTCTTCATATCTCTAGCTGCCTGATCCTAAGGAAACAGAAAGGATATATAGAATCACATCTGCTGAAAACACTGAAAAGGAAATTTCTTTTTTTCTTTTTTTTTGAGTTGGAGTCTTACTCTGTCACCCAGACTGGAGTGCAGTGGCACACTCCCAGTCACTGCAGCCTCAACCTGCTGGGCTCCGGTGATCCTTCCGCCTCAGTCTTCCAGGTAGCTGGAACTACAGGCACGCGCTAACACGCTTGGTTAATTTTTTTATTTATTGCAGAGATGAGGTCTCACCAAGTTGCCCAGAGGGTCTCGAGCCCGCGGGCTAAGGTAATCCACTCACCTCAGCCTCCCAAAGCACAGGATTACAGGCTGAGCCACTGAGCCCGGCTAGGAAATTTCTTTATAAAAAATTTTTATGGCTGGGTTCAGTGGCTCAGCCTGTAATCCCAGCACTTTGGAAGGTCAAGGTGAGTAGACTGCCTGAGCCCGTGGGTTTGAGACCCGCCCGGGCAACTTGGAAAGACCTCGTCTCTACAATAAATAAAAAATCAGCCAGGCGTGGTCATGCATGCCTGTAGTTCCGGCTACTTGGAAGGCTGAGGTGGAAGGATCGCTGGAGCCCAGAAGGTCGAGGCTGTAGTGGCCAGGAGTGTGCCACTGCACTCCAGTCTGGGCGACAGAGTAAGACTCCAACTCAAAAAAAAAAATTTTTACACTGGAACAAGTGCTATCGCAGTTTTAAATGTCTTTTGACAACAGCATTTTGTCACAATCAAATTGCATCCTGACAATTATTTTTCAAAGAGAAATACCTAATTCCTTTTAAAAACTTGACTGCATATGAACTACATGATTTTTATCTGTAATACACGTCATGCATGGAAAAGTGAACAAAAATGCTTGACTAACAAATATATAATCTTTGGTTGCCTTTTAAAAAAGTGAATGATGGCCGGGCTCGGTGGCTCAGCCTGTAATCCCAGCGCTTTGGGAGGCCGAGGTGAGTGGATTGCCTGAGCCTGGGGGGTTCGAGACCCGCCTGGGCAACTTGGCGAGACCTCATCTCTACAATAAATAAAAAATTAGCCGGGCATGGTAGCGCGCGCCTGTAGTTGCAGTTACTTGGAAGACTGAGGCAGAAGGATTGCCGGAGCCCAGCAGGTCGAGGTTGCAGTGGCCGGGAGCAGCCACTGCACTCCAGTCTCGGTGACAGAGTGAGACTCCAACTCAAAAAAAAAAAAGTGAATGATATAATCAGAACTGTAAAGGGACTTAAATTCAGGCAGATCAGTCTTTCTCACAGTGTAGCTTAGGACCATTTACATCGGATCACCAGTGGGGCTGGTAAAAAAAAAAAATTTCTAGATATGACTCTGGAAAGGCAGTTCACTGCCAGGGATGATTCTGTGCCTAGGCAACATCTGGCAAAGCTGGGGAGACATTTGGGGTGTGGGGTGAGGCTCAGGTGGTGTTACAGGTTGGTAGAGCCAGGCATGCTGCTAGGCATCCTATAATACACAGACTAGTGCCCACAACAAAGAACTACCCAGCTCCAAATGACAATAGTCCTGAGGTTAAAAACTTTGCTCTACTCTTACTAAATCAGAATCCTTGTGGGTGGAGTAAATGTATATGTAGTTTCTATAGGCAATTCTCATGTACAGTGAATTGATAATCACTGATCTAAATTAATCCTTTGTTTTATATATTCAAAAACCAAGGCCAGAGAATTAAGTGACTTCCCCCCTAAGGTTATACAAATTCTGCCCCAAATTTTGTCACTATAAAGCAACATGAGTTTTGGGGGCTTTTTTTTTTTTAATGCCACTAAATACATCGTGGCATGGTTAGGTGTTCTATCAAATCAAATGTTCCCGATAAAGAGGAATTAATTATTTTTAAAAAAGTGTTGCATACAAACAACCTACTTTTCAAGGAATTGAGTCATATAGAAGATATACTTAAGACTGTAAGCTGAAGATGATATAAGCAATGTAACATAAAAAATAGGTCACAAACACTGGTAGAACATATTGTTTCTGCCTACATAAATCTTTTTTTGGAACACTGGCTAAAAATAAATCTTTATCTAGTTCAAGCACTGAAAAAGTATACACTTTATATAAAAGGTGATAGCTGAGATCAGGAATTAGTACAAACACTTAGGCAATAACACTCTCCAAATTCAGACAGTATCCAATCCCTCTGCCCTAAAACAAGCAATCACTTTAAATATTACACAGAAAAGATAACAGAAGAATGATACTATACTGAAAAGATTTAACCTCCTAACGGCTTCAACTATTAAAGTGTTCGGTAATGCCAGGTGTGGTGATTCACACCTATAATCCTAAAGCCAAGTTGGGAGGATCACTTGAGCCCAGGAGTTCAAGACCAACCTGGGCAACACAGTGAGACCTCATCTCTTTAAAAAAAAAAAGAAAAAGAAAAAAATCAGTCAGGGGCAGTTGCACACACCTGTAGTCCCAGCTACTTGAGTGACAGGTGGGAAGATCACTGAAGCCCACGACTTTAAGGCTACAGTGAACTGTGATCATGCACTGCACTCCAGCCTGGGCAACTGAGTGATACCCTGTCTCTTAAAAAAAAAAAAAAGCCAAGCAAGAGAGTTTAGGCCATTCTCAGATATTCTCACTCAAAAAGGACTATGCCAGCTTGTATTACCATAAGTTACATCTAAATTTAAACCTAGAAAATCAAGAGCTGATTTTTCTTTTAATTCATCAGTAGGGATACCTTAAGAAATGAGACCAGATTTTTTGGGAAGCACAGCCCTTCGGAAAATGTCTATCTCAAGAAGAAGAAAAGCAGAGTGTATCAGACATCTCAAAAATGGCAAATCGTGTATTACCTTCACTCCTACAATCATTTAACAAATTTACTAGATATCCACTACTTTGCAAGGCACACATAAAGCCTGAATAGTTTTGCTAAGTGTCCTGATCAGTCTGGCCAGTGGCAGAAATACTCAGTGCTACAAGAGCTCAGATTCAGAATGAGACAGTGTAGAGAGTGTGGGGTTTAAAGGTGAATTCAGGCTCACCACCTATTATGTGCATACTCTCCACCAAGTAGTGTAAGCTGTTCTAAATCAAGGGCAGGAAACTGATGATAAATGAAGCCAGGATAACAAACGTAGTATCCTGTTAACACAGATGTGCTTTGCTTGTCCTTCAGTAAGTAGGCATAATCTTCTAAAGAAGCGTGCTGGAATTTCTCTTATACCATGAGTCTTTTCACTTCCAAAATTTGCTAGAGAACTGAGTTAAGAAAAATATGTTCCAATTATAAGGAAAATTACCATGCAAGTGGAACGACAAATGGTTCCAAACAGTTAAGACGCAAACGGGACTGACAGAGCCACGGTGAACGAGAAGAGGATGCTGTGTCTAGACAAGTAGCCAGTGCTCAGCAACAGCCTGTTTTTGCCACGCAAGAACACAGGCTTAGTGTTGCCAGAGCTTCCATTTTATAACGGTCTAAAATGTTAGACAAAATTATCTATTTTACAAATGCTGGTTCACATTTTTAAAAGGCAATGTCTAAGCCAAATAAAAATGTATCTATCTTGGATTCTTTCTTTCCCTCCTTTCTTAGTGGAGAAATGTATTCTGGCTAAAGACAAGTAACTAAGGAATCTGAAAGGATACTATTTCATAAGCAATAAATGACAGCTAAAAATTTTTTTTTTTGTAGAAATGGGGTCTCATAAATGGTGACCACGCTGGTTTCAAATTCCTGGCCTTGGCTAGGCATAGTTTCTCACACCTGTAAGGCGGAGGCGAGAGGACTGCCTGAGTCCAGGGGTTCAAGACCAGCCTGGGTAACTTGACAAGATCTTGTCTCTAAGATAAATAAATTAAAAAATTAGCCAAGCATGGTGGCATGCGCCTGTGGTTCCAGCTAGTTTAAAGGTGAGGCGGAAGGATCGCCCGAGCCCAGCAGGTCGAGGCTGCTGTGGCTGTGAGAGTGCCACTGCACTCCAGCTTAGGTTACAGAGTGAGATTCTGACTCAAAAAAACTCCTGGCTTGAAGAAATCCTCCTGCTTTCCCCGAAGCACTGGGATTACAGGTATGAGCTACCGCACCTAGCCTGAAGTGAGCTTTAAAGCAAGGGGAATAACCTGCTCTGGGCTACTAAACTGTTGCTGGATACCACACCACATAAATGGGAGAGCAGAGAGCCTCAAGTAGGGAGAGAGTTTAGGCCAGGCAGGCGTTAATGAGGACACAGAGGATAACTTCAGTGGCAGCAGAAAGAAAAGAACAGATGCGAGGGATGTTGTAAAGACTGACTTGGCAAGTGACAGAGCAAAGGCTGTATGATGTAAGGAAAATAGCTGGGGCTTCAGGACTACTAGGCAAGAAAAATTAAATGAGCCCCAGCTCTAACAATTAAGTACAAATATGATTTGGACAACTGATTTGAACTGTCTTAGGGCTCAGTTTAACCACTTAAAACATTTTATTTCTATATACATTTTCCCATGGTTATTCTGAGGATTAAATGAAATAATGAACATGCTTGATAATCTGATTTAAAAGGGGGGGGAGTAATAGGAAGAAATTAAGGTCAAAGTTTTAAGCCAAGGTAATTTGGTGAATACCAGTGCCATTAATAGTAATAAGAGTTTAAGGTGCCAGTGGGTCATACCCAAGTTAAAACAGCCAACATAATTCTGGAAAAGCAGGACTAAAACCAGAAAGTACAGCACTTTGGAGGCACCGCCACCTTGAGCCTTTTCCCATCAGCCATGGTCAATCCCACCATGTTCTTTGACATTGCTGTCGGTGGCAAGCCCTTGGGCCGCGTGTCCTTCAAGCTGTTTGCAGACGAAGTTTCAAAGACAGCAGAAAACTTTCATGCTCTGAGCGCTGGAGAGAAAGGATTCGGTTATAAGGGTTCTTGCTTTCACAGAATTATTCCAGGGTTTATGTGCCAGGGTGGTGACTTTACACACCATAATGGCACTGGAAGCAAGTCCATCTATGGGGAGAAATTTGATGACGAGAACTTCATCTTGAAGCATACAGGTTCCAGCATCTTGCCCATGGCAAATGCTGGACCCAACACAAACGGTTCCCAGTTTTTCATCTGCACTACTAAGACCGAATGGTTGGATGGCAAGCATGTGGTTTTTGACAAGGTGAAAGAGGGTGTGAATGTTGTGCAAGCCATGGAGGGCTTTGGGTCCAAAAATGGCAAGACCAGCAAGAAGATCCCCATTGCTGACTGTGGACAACTCTACTAAATTTGACTTGTTTAGCTGGGCTCGGTGGCTCAGCTTGTAATCCCGCGCCTTTGGGAGGCTGAGGTGAGTGGATTGCCTGAGCCCGCGGGTTC